TCCTCCGAAGCTCCCAATGGCGGGGAACTCCGTGGTATTCTGGAACTCTGGCTGTCCAGGGGCGGCGCCGAAACTGTTATCTCCGAAACTGTGTGGGTGGAGACCAAGTTACAGGGGTCGGAGGTTGTCCTTACGGGGTTTTCGAGGTGTCCCTGCCACACTCAACTGTCCGGAGGGACCTGAACCCTGAGGAGGTCTGTAAGGGGTCAATGGTCGTGATGTGCAAACTCGTATGATCCGCAGACAGGTCTCATGCCCCTACCCATAGCAAAATTCCAAAAATTGCCATGATGTGAGCTATAAATAGCTATGGCGGATAGCAGGCCAGGAAAATTGCCATGAATAGCCAAGAAAAACCTCTTTTTTTGTTCCATTCTGATTGATTTGTTTTAACTACCTTGTTTTGATTGTAACGAAAATAAATTAATTTATTTTTTATCAAAAGGTGTATTTTTGTTTTGTGTACAAAATTGTTTACATAATTTAGTTAGACTACTGTCTATGACGCTTTGTCTTATCGACTGTTGAATTGTTTATTTATGTGAGTCAATGGGAGATTAGGTAATCGGGTAGCAAACACATATTAGTGAGTACACACAACGGACGATCGTAGCCGTAGTATTGGACTGCGACCTTTGCGAATGAGCACCTACCCGATGTCTCGTGATCTTTCTAGCGCAGCTTGGGCCACGTAAAGAGGCAGACTTACACACGTGAAAACGATTTACAAACTGTTAACCGAGCACAAATGGTGGCGGAATGTACGATGTTAAGAATTAACGTGAAAAACCATTCGCCCGTATACAGGTGTGCTTCGCCCATTCTCAAATTGGGTGTGGACGCCTCGGGGAACGTAGAGGCCGGTAGAGGCGAGGCACACACTCACAGCTCACACACACACACACACACACGCACGCACGCACACACACACACACACACGCACACACACACACTGCCCCACTCTCTCTCTAAGCTGACCTTAAGCCTTTCTAGCTTTTATGATTTTTATTAGTTATCAGCCGTAAAACCGTCAGGAAAACGGGTATGTGCCTCAACCGCTTTGATTTTGACGTTATATTACGAACACATCGTTATATGTATTACTGGTATAAAAAATCCGTACAGAGGGTCATCGGCTATTTTTCTGGCCTATTGCAGCCTCCGAATTGCCATGGTGACCAGAAATTAATTAAGTCGCGGCCCCGTGGTCAGGGAAGCCGTCCGACTGAAGAAGGAGGCCTTCAGGGATTTGTTATCCCGGGGGACTCCCGAGGCAGTTGCAAGGTACCAACAGGCCCGAAGGGCAGCAGCCTCAGCCGTGGCCGAGGCAAAGCAGCGGGTGTGGGAGAAGTTCGGAGAAGACATGGAAAAGCTTGCCATGTTTTTAATTGTATTTCTTTTGATAAACAGAACTCAAAATGCATTTGTTTGCTAAAAATCATAAAGACAGTTTAAACATCCATAGAGACAGTTATGCATCCACAAACAGGCCAGTTAAGCCTTTATCTTGCCTGGAGATGTTTATCATCGTATGTATTTATTGGGTGTGTTTCCTCCAGGCCACCAAGCTGACTGAGCGTTACAAGCAAGGGAAGCTTCATGCCTACAAGCTGATCTGCAGGATCATGAAGAGACGGCAAGATGTTTCCCCAAACACTGACTTCCTCACACACTTCTACAACATCATGCACCAGGGACTACTGCACCAAGACCAGGTGGAGTGTGTGTGGCTGTCTGACAAAACAATTATGTAGAGCAAAGTTTGTAAGAAAAAAACCCATTCAGATCAAGCAGGGATTTGTTTTTGCAAATGCTCTCTAGCCGGCGCTGCTATCGTTATATATTATTTATATTTTTTTCCACAATACTTTGTTTTAAAAATTAAGCCTTTTAGAGTTTAGAAAATGCTGGAACATTTATATAAAATCAAAAATGCTTTATCTGAATATAAAAATATAAAAATGATGACTGCTATTGTGATATATATTGTTTTCCACAATATTTTTATTTAAATGTATAACAACATAAAATACAGCCTTTTAAATTATAAGGTAAAAATAAATCACAATTTTTTGCTGCATTCACTCAGGAGACAAACTAAAAACAAAAGGAAATGAATAAAAATGTATCGAGTACACAGTGGAGTACTGTATATTAATTGTTAAGTGTTCAAAATGTATAGGAAAACATATATAAGTCCACAAGCTCGCGTTGTTACTGCAAATAGTTGACGAATTCTTCGTCGGTTAAATCCAAATCTTTAACATAATTAATAAAGGGCCTCCTTATGTTGTCAAATAAATTCTGCCTTTAATATGTAAGATATCCTCTCAAATGGATTGCTTGTAACATCTGTCGTGAGCATTTTGCCAAATCAATGTAATACATATTTTGACTTAAAGCATGCCTCTTTTTAAAAACATGTATTTATGTTTCGTCCAGTACAATCTATTATTGAAAAGTCTTCTCTACTGTACTGCATACTTATTGCCAGAATATTTTTCTGTCTATAGCTGTATTTTTGAAACAACATAATGTTTCTGCAGGACATTGTGAACACCATCATAAAACACTGCAGTCCCCGTTTCTTCAGTATCGGTCTCCCTGGAGCCACCATGTTGATCCTGGACTTCATCATCGCAGCGTCAAGAGTCACCGCATGCTCATCGCTCAACGTAAGAAACAGGATCACACTCATGTGCAGCAATTATTATATAGTATATATTACATAGATGTGTCATGATTTCCTGTGTCCTTCTTTCTTCTATCTTTGTGTCTTTTCCCCACCCCGCCTCCTCTATCCCAGGCCCCCAGGGTGGAGGCCCAGATCCTGCTGGGGTCTCTGGTATGTTTCCCAAACTTCTACGAGGAGCTTCCAGCCCTCCACCCCACCACAGCTGATGTGGTGCTCACCAAGTTCCCTGACGTCAAGGTAGATAGTAGCAATAATAATTAGGGATGAACCGATGCATCGGCCATACATTAGTGACTTGTTGTTGACCATGTTTATGTTTTGCTTGGCTATGTGACTGGGAGATTTAACTTGAGTGTAATTTCTTCAAAGGTCCCCTATTATGCAAACTCCACTTGTTCATGTATTTTATACATAAACATGTGTCCCCTCTGTGTAAAGAGATTCTGAAAAACATTTGCTCTCTTTTTTGTCCTGATCCATTTATATAAAAACCTGTCTGAAAATGTTTGATGTCATAACGTGTTTTTGGCTTGTGTAACCATTAGCCAATCACCAACCAAGGTTGAATATAGATTATCCTCCTAGAGCACCATTGGGGTTTTTCCAACCAAATATCTCTCAGAGGGGCGTGGGGAGTGGCTCCTTATTTTTCATCTAAAGTAAAGAGAATCAGCACTTTTGAAACAGGGCTGAAACAGAGGGGATTATGGGATGCTGCAATGATCTGTTTGGTATTTCGAGCCAAACACTTTAGAGACATGTTTTGTATATATCTGAGACCTGTGATATATTGATGAAAAACAGTATAATAGGGGATCTTTAAATTTAAAAGGGACAACATTTAAAGTCTGTCATTTTGAAAGATTAGAGCACTGACTGAGGGTTGTACCTTTACAGTAACTTGAAGCATTGTTTGACCACTGATGTTAAATTGACCAGACTTATTTCTGCAGCTTGATTTGACTGCACAAAACCCCTAGTCAGAGTTTGCGTCGTCCTTAGCAACGGTCTGCTATCCTTAAAGGTGGTCTGCTATCCTTAGCAACGGTCGGCTATCCTTAGCAACGGTCGGCTATCCTTAGCAACGGTCTGCTGTCCTTAGCAACGGTCTGCTGTCCTTAACAGCGGTCTGCTATCCTTAGCAACGGTCTGCTGTCCTTAACAGCGGTCTGCTGTCCTTAACCACGGATCTGCTATCCTTAGCAACGGTCTGCTATCCTAAGCAACGGTCTGCTATCCTTAGCAACGGTCTGCTATCCTTATCAATGGTCTGCTATCCTTAGCAATGGTCTGCTATCCTTAAAAGTGGTCTGCTATCCTTGGAAACAGTCTGCTGTCCTTGGCAGCGGTCTGATAGCGAAAAGAGCAGAAATTGACCAATCGGCATCGAGTACTCAACAAAGCAATGTAACAAACAGGTTGTGAGTTTGTTATAAAAGAAGATATGCTTTATAAAAAAGTTACTAAGAAAGGTTTTGATAAACAAACAAAAACAATTCTCTAGGTAGAAAGATGATAACAGTAATGACGTAAAAGTTGTATCATTAAAATATCCTTACCACCTTCTAACATGTCAGGATACTTTAAAACTGCCCCCATCTCTGTGTGTAATCCAGGTCAGTCAAAACCCTGTAACACATCAGGCTGCTCTCAGCGGGGGGTTGTAGAACCAAACTATTAGGTTAATGTCTCATTACTCATTCTTGTACCAGTCCAGAGCTATTGCAGTGATGTTCTTATTGTTGTTGTCGCCGTGTAAACAGATAATGCCATGCGTGGCAGCACCTCGGCCCCGCTCACTGGTTCCTTACAAAGCACATACTTGTTCTGAATCACTGAGCGGTCATTAGCAGCGACCAGAGGGACGGACCAGCGAGTGTGTGTGAACGTTTATGTAATCCCATGCATCACTTTTCTCACTATCTGAAAAACCAATGCAAGTTTGAATCTTTGTGACACACACCTAACTTTGTGTGTGGGACCTATAGAAGAAGTTGCTACATGCATGTAGATATGTATTGTGTTAATTCACTTGTGTTTTTGTTGTATGCTTTGCTTTTTAGGTAGCACATTATCAAAACCATTCTGACCTCTGCCAGGGAGAAACCCTCTGCTCCTGCTAGGTAACATATTTCTTATTTTAATATCATAGTTTGTGGTATAGAGTTGGATAGCGTTTTATTTAAATGTGTTTCTAGTCCCCCGACATTTAGAAGAAGACGTATATTATCTAGTAAATCTAGTTTTCACTCTGTTGTTATCCACCTTATGCTTGGCTTGCTTTAGGGCTCTTCCACATTTGATATTCCTAATATCTACGTGTGTAAAGCATGTTTACATATATGTGGAGTTTTGCAGGACTATCTATTACTGTGTGTGTATAACAGCATCACATGCTCACAGTGTGTTTGTGTTCAGGTGTGTGGCTCTGTGCAGTCTGGGGATCTGGCTGTGTGAGGAGCTGGCTCACGGGACTCAGCACCCGCAGATTAAAGACGCTCTCAATGTCATCTGCGTCACTCTGAAGGTCAGTGACTACTCTGTGCAGCTTCAAAATATAGCTTATTTAATGGTCAATGAAGGGTTGCATTTCATTTGGAATCCAATACCTTTTTATATTATTAAACAAGATATTTGTTTTTTTATACCCTGATATTTTTAAGGTTATGACATGATCTTTTAATGATAACAAGATTTCTTTTTAATATTAATTAGGGATCGGCCGATATGGCTTTTTCAAGGCCGATACCGATTATTAGTAATCAAGGAGACCGATAACTTATCGGTCTCCTTGATTACTAATAATCGGTATCGGCCTTGAAAAAGCCATATCGGCCGATCCCTAATTAATATTAAAAAGAAATCTTGTTATCATTAANTGGTTTTAAGAATATTAAACTTGTTTCGCCAAATTCAGATGAAAAATACAACTTTTAAGCTTGTAAAGGCATAATTACAAGCGGCAACTTAACGTCACAGCAGGCATAACAACAGACGGTGTTTCTTGTGAGGGTTTCCCCTGGAAACAAACACAATACACACAAATGCGTCACAGATTATTTTCCGGTATTTTAAATCATGTACGCAGCTCGCGACGTAACTAGGAGTCTAGTGGACGGTATCAGTACTACAAGTAAAACAAATAATAATAATTTTAACAAAAACATTTTTTTTTCATTAATTACGTTCATTCTGAGGGCCGCAAAAAGAGGAGGTGGGGGCCGCCATTTGCCCATCCCTGATTTAGACTTTCCTTTTTGAGAAGGCTTATAGGGCTGGCTCAGGCTAACCTTGAATCCGCCCATAGTTATGCTGATATAGGCTTAAGACTTTCCATTTTGATGAAGCTCATATTATTTATTATATATATATATATATATATTCGGATATGAATACCTCTGATAGACTTTCACTACTCTTTATCTCTATGCATTCTGTACCCTGTTACTAACTGTGCGTGCGTGTGTGTGTGCCTCCCCTCACCTCTTCTCCCAGGAATTGAGGCCCAGGATGTTGATGAGCAGTCTGCAGTAGTAGAAGGCGGACTGAGGCGTCTCTGTGTCCGGCTCCGGCTGCTGCACAGCCCTCATGTTCAGATCCTCTCCTCTCTGACACATTCAACAGTTCAAGAATAAACAAATGTTAGGGAGGAAAATATAAAATGCATTACAATTAAATAGAAATGTATTTTATATGCGAGAGCTATGAGTGAGAGACTCTTTTTAGCGACCTAATCTGTTTTAAAGCAGGACTGCAAAGGACATTTTCAGTCGAATAGCTTCAGAACATTTTCATAGAGACTGGGAACAGCACATTCTGATGTTTTTGCTTTGGATTCAAAGATTGAAAAAGATAATAAATATTGGACAAAACGTACATGGAGGACAAACTCTCTTTCGGCAGCACTCTGCTTCAGGATGGCGTTGATCACGTCGTTCTCTTGCTTTTCTGACACACACGCTGGAGGAGGGGCCGGGATGTTGAGCGGCATGCCTAAGGACCAATCAGGGGACAAAGCTTTCATTCTCTTTGAAGATCCAGGACAACAGATGCAATTGACAGTAACACGTTCCTATATTTATACAGGACTAGTTGAGGGATGTCAATCTGGAGATTTCTCAATGAAACTCTGCCTCAATAGTTTGTTGAGCAACGGAAAAGTCAGTGATGCATGTTAAGTGATTTCTGAGCAAATTACTAGTCATTTAGATATACATAATTTAAGTAGATCTTAAGTCACTGCTACAGTAGGTCACATCAGTAAAAGCTGTGAAACTCATCCAAATTCTCAGGTGGCGCCTCTGTTTTGGCATGAAGAAATATGTTTATGGACAGTCTACATTCACAAGACATGTGGTAAAATGGCTCTGGGCTTATGTTGCCGTTGTTTTACTTTGGAGAGAGCGGCTCCTAAAATTGTTGCAGAGCTCTGTGCTTAAGGTTACAATTATTCCAACTTTGTCCTTGAATACCGCTGACCTTTTAATGTGCAGCAAGTCAGATGACAGATGTGCATTGCAAGCTAACAGGGAAGTTAACCATAGACACAATATTTAACTAGCAGTTACATTTGCAGTCTTTGGGAGAGTTTGGCAGAACTGACATGCAGCCTGAACACTTCCGTGTCCTGTTTGAATCAACGTGTTATTCTCCAGCTAGCTAGTTTTTCAGTCAATGTAGCTAAAAAGAGTTCATGATAATGCATGTTTGCCCAGTATTTGTTTTATTGTAAAACCTAGACTTCAGATTGAGTAACTAATGCAGAACATTTCTAATAGGAAGTCCATAGTGTGTGTGTGTGTGTGTGTGTGTGTGTGTGTGTGTGTGTGTGTGTGTGTGTGTGTGTGTGTACCTGCTCTCTGTAGACACTCGGGGCTCGAGTACCCCAGGTACTGCAGCATTTCATCCAGCGAGTCGTCCCCCTCCCTCAGCGAGTCCCACGCTGGCACCGCCTCCCGACACACCCGTTTAGCCAATGGCGGTGCGGGAAACTGCTCTAGGCCCGACTCGCCCTGATCCCGCTCTCCATCCATCCTATGCTCTATCCCCTCCTCCTCTTCTTCTTCTTCATCATCATCTTCTCCATCTCCCATCCCCTCCTCTGTGTCTTTCCTCTCCTCCTCTCCTTCCTCCTCCCCCTCCCCCTGTAACTCCTGCCTTTCACCCTCCGTCCCTCTCCGTCCCTCCTCTGCTACCTCGATATCCTCCTGCCCCCCCTCCTCTTCGCTGTCTTCTTTCTTCAGTCCCATCTTTTTCGCCGGACCTCCCGGTGGAGTGCGCAAATGAAGATTGCCGCCGTGAGGGGATTGGGTGTGTGGCATGAATGTGTGTGTGGGGCTGTTCGGGGGGCAGGGCGGGGGTCCGTAGAGAACGGCAGAGTCCCAGGAGTGTTTCCCCGCCACGTCTCGGATGATGACGCGGACGCAGGCGGGGGCGGAGGACAAACCGGCCGTCATCCCGCCTCCTGGAACACCGGATTCTGAGCGGATCTGGGACAAAGAGGAAAACAGTGTTTAGACTAACGACAACCAAATATGAATGGTATACTTTTTTCAAACAAACATACACATCTCAACTGCCCTAAAACAACACTTCTTGGGAATGTTTTGGTGTCTTCCTCATAGTTACACCTTCTTTACACTTTTATCAGAAAAGCTAAGATGATTTTAACTTGATCAATCAACTCAGGGTAGAGAGGGTTTATTTAATATAAAATTATAACAAAACATTACACAAATGTACACTACACAAGGCTTATAATGAAAAACAAAAAATAAACACTAAAACATAGTATATCGCTATCAGCTAAATTGCTACGGCAAACATTGGTTTCGATATAGGCCAAAAGATGACTCAAAACATCTCTATTGGCTGAGAATGTGACATGTGTGCATCTCTAATAAAAAAACTAAGTTCTAAAAGGACCGGAAGCAAAAGCTACTTAGCCAGCTTGTCGGTCGATCGTTTTGCGGTTACATTCTGTACCAGTTGCGGCGTCATTAAGGCAATTAACAAAAGAAAATATGCAATGTAGGCATGTTAACTTGCTATGTAACATTTCCATTCTTACAGTGGCTAAATACAAATGAAGACGCTTTAACTACCATGATGTTCAGATAATGTTAGTGGCTGTTGCGTTTGATGTCAGATTTCTCCAGCCCCTTTCTTTTGATTGAGGTTACCTGATACACGGAGAGCAGCGTGGAGCCGTTCAGAACCAGGAACTGCAGGTTAGGGGAATGGAAAAGCTCCGGTCCGAGATCTGCACTCTCACAGAACGGATTATCTTGGTTTTCACACACCTAGAACAACATAGAAAAGTGTGTTGTTACAGCAAAAGATGTAAGATCTGATTGAAGAATCAAGACTGGTTTATTATGTGTATTCCCTGAAGGACAAACACGTCCCATCAGCATATCGATTGGTGAAGGAATGAGTCCTAAAACCCGGTAATGATTCAGCATAGTTGGACTTTCAGTTTTTTTTGCCTCGTTTTAATTCGATGTCTGAAACGAGATGGTTTGTTAATACCACTTTCTAAACAGGGTGGGTGCTAATAAGTGGCTAAATGAGACTCAACGGTTATCGGGCACATTTAACGGCATCATGCAAAACACAAAGAAAATCATCTCAGTGGTTTGGATTCCAAAGTTGTGCGACTATAAATTGGTGTTCCTGTTGGCTTTTTGTCGAGGAACCAGTGCAATGCTAACTTTTAGGTTGCCTACCTCCCTGCATCACTCAGTAGAGTACATCAGTCTGGCATTTTTAGCAACAATCCCACAGTACCTGGCTGGACAGAGTGGCAGGCCCTCCGGACATGGGGTAATGGCCTAGATGGTTGACTAAGTGTGTGATTACAGTACTAGCTGCGATGGAGACCAGGCCATGCTGAATTCGGCTTCGCACTGCAGAAAGAGGACACAGAGGACATGTTTTTTAGAACAATACATTTCAATCAGCAAATATTAGAAGTGTACAGTCTTTGTTTACTGTCTCTTTTTTAAAAGAACCTAATTGGTGTGTGGAGCGTTGAAAACAGAAAATACATTATTTTGCGAAGCGCTGGAGTAATTGGAATATTATTGTATATGTATTTTTAACATGATATCTAAGGAGAAGGATAAGGGCCATGTGCATTCTTTTTTCAATGAGATTAAAGACAGAATTCTGAGATTAATGTCAGAATTCCAAAAATATTATATTATTATATATTTTGGAATTCTTACTTTTTACACGGAATTCTGACTTTAATCTCATCTTTTACAAAAATGTTTGGTCTGATCTAAAAAATGTGACCCTTATCCTTTTCCGTATATATACATTTTTCGTGACATCACTAGACTCAAATAAACCCAGAAAAAAAATGGTGTTCTCACAAAACATTGATATATTCTTGTTGAGCAAAAGATAATGACAAAAAATGCTTAAAGATGCGTGCAGACAAAACGCCCCACTGTGTAAAGACCTTTACTTTTTATACTTGCAAGTTAGGAGAAAACTTCAGGAATTACAGCGAGAAAACTAGGAAGAGGTCTAAAGAAACACATTCAGCTCGTACATAGTTTGCCTCATGCTGAGCAGAAGCCAATGCCATCACACACTGTTCTGCCAGCAGATCCTGGCTAATCAACATCATTACACACACACTGACACACACACACACACACACTACAGCTTGTTATTGGCAGGGCTGTGGGTAGAGTACAGATATGTATTGACCAGACATTCTCAACATCTCCCTGAACCTCAGGAGAGCTTTAGGAGGAGGAAGGGTAAGGACATTTCAGTAAAAAATGAAAAATAATATTAGTGGAGATTGAAGCTAAAAGAATAACAGAAGAAAGGAAGTGAAGAAGAGAGGAGAAGCGTGGTCTATGGTGGTGCTCCGGTTATTAGCCGAGACGCTGATCATGGTGGATCGCAGCAGGGGAACACACACACACACACACACACACACACACACACACACACACACACACACACACACACACACACACACACACACACACACACACACACACACACACACACACACACTTCAATGCATCACTTTACAAACAAGTATTCCCTTATTGAGGTAATCCAATAGTAACATTACTTCTATACTGTGATACTCCAATAAGGTTACTGATTATATTTAGGTAACTAGTATTTCTAATGAAATACATTAAAGGTTTAGGGTAGGGTTTTTCAGAAATGAGGTGATTTAAAAAAAAAAACTTACTATCTGAAAAATAACTTCATTTTTGAAAAATCATTGTATTTGAGGTGTAAGTACATTTTTATCCAATTTCTCATAATGATTCAATAAAAAAATATCCCCTCATTTCTGAAAATAACTACAATTACGAAGAAATCACCTCAGTTATCAAAAATGGCAAGATTATCCCAAATGACCTACTTTTGATTTGGTAAAGGGGAACCATTATTGAAAAATCACCATATTTATATATAAAAAAAGAAAAAAAGATCCCAACCCTGCTGGATATAGGTTTCTGCTGGTTGTATTTTTGTAATGTTTCTGATCGTGTGAAAATAAAAATACATATCCTCATGCTCATTCACAAAATAATCATGTAAATGTTGTGTTTTAGGTGTCCTCTGAGTGTGTGATATTCTACCTTCGGTGACAGGCTGCAGTTTGCTGGAGCGCTCAGAGTCAGGGCTGTGCAGCGGTTCTGGTTCTCGGAGGCTCTCTAGCGGCAGGAACGGGTCGTAATCCGGACTCAGCAGGTCGGACATCTGCAGCGGGTAATACTTAGGACTGTTGAACGACTGGGCTCCATACACACAGCCGTGTAACACCTGGAATATTTCAAAAGGAAAGGGACATCAGATTGAACTCCATTGAGCCTCATTAATAGCCCATGTTCAGCTTTACTTCCCTGATGCTTACACTTTATGTGAGAAGATAACACTTATCTTCAATATAGGATTAGTTTTGGGGGAATGTATGATTAACAGTGTGCTAAGTGTAAGTTATGACCAGGTTAACATTAATAACAGAATGTGAAGAGTGTTGCTGTTATAACAAATGCTTTTATGTATTGTATGCAGAGATATTGGGTGGCTGTGGCTCAGGAGGTAAATGGGTGTCTGGGGGTCAAACGTTGGTACTACAACTTCCATATCAGTATGTGACGTAATTCGGCCCAAAAATAATTTGCCCATTAAGAAACATTGGGAAAGAGACGTCAGTAAATTGCATAGTCAGGGCATTCTGGCTCCATGCGCATGAGCAACTTTCCTCCCGCCTACAACACTGTATCCAGTTCCCTTTAAACATCCTTTCAGTCAACATGTAAAAATGTCAGCAAATTGCTGCCCTCTTGTTACTCTAGATGGGGTAGGCATTACCTCTACAAAGAGGTAATGCCTCTAATAAATCCAACTGTACGAGTGTTTAGATTTTTTTAATGTTTTTGTGTGAGTGTTGGCAGATGAAGTTTGGTAGAAAGAAATGTGTTTTGGAGATAGAGCCGACATCTCTACGGCCGATATCTGCCGCACTCAGCAAGTCACATCAACACTATCTAAATTGATAACAAGCACTACATGTTAGAGCATTTCATTTTGATTATCGGTTCAATTGTCCCTTTAATATTAAATTACATGTTATTTGTTAGACGCTTTTATCCAAAGCGACTTACATACTCAATACTGTGGGGAATCTCCACAGGAACAATTTGAGGTGAAGTGTCTCAGGGACACAACGACATGCAGTGGGGTTTGAACCTGTGACCCCCTGATCCCAACACCAAGGCTCTATCCACTGCGCCACACACCTCCTCCTATAGACACACAAACATTTGTACCTTATAAATACAGCTGAGCAGGGTCTTGGTGGGCTGCTCCTTCTCTGGGGGACTTCTGGTCTGAACAGGCTGGAGGAGAGTCTTTGGAGGCAGAGCCATCACCCAGTCCAGCAGACACAGCAGGAGGGACACCACCAGCTGACACACACAGGGTAAAAGGTGAGTTTCTAAGCAGAAAGAGGAATACAGTGAAAGATGGGAAAGTGAATGTGTGTGTTACCCTTTTATCCAGCTCATGAGGAGAAGTCTCAGTAGTAGGCAGCAAGTGTGTGATGGTGGCTATCAGAATCTAAGAACAAATCAAATCAGAGAAGAATTGTTTTTCTACATCAGAACTGTTACAATGATTACTTCTGGTTAGAATTTAATCATGTAAAAATAAATCCAAAAATATTATATTACATCTGACTTCATTTCTCACTAGATAATCTACACACCTATAATCAGAAACGGTTGGAATACAACTATAAGTGATAAACTACATTAGATAAAGACCTACTTGTTTATCTAAATATTTGCATATATATATATATATTTCAGTATTAATTTTTTTATTATTTATTTCTCTAAAACTGTTACCAAACCAGATGTATCCATGATGATACAAGTATGCTGATTCTAATTGATTGATTCCATTTACAGAGATAAGAAATTAAACAAGTATTGAAATAATTCAAACAAATAAAGTCTCACCTCTACGATCTTCTTTGGAGTGTCGGGGGGGAATTCCTGAAGATAATCCACGTGGCTGATCAGGAGGTGCAGGATGTCCGACGCCACCAGGGCTACATTCTTATTGGGGTACTGCCAACACAATTAAATATGTGAGTTCATTCACAGGTTTTTGGAGCAAACGCATTATTTGATCCACTCATTTAGTATATATGATTCGGGAAACAAGTACTCTAATTTTTGGTACTCAATTAAAAGTATGAAAGTATTGGCTTAAAAGTATACTTAAGAAAGATTTGAATGCAGGTCTCTACTTGTAATTGTTTTACAATTAAAGGTGGGGTTGGTAAGTTTGAGAAACCGGCTCGAGATACAGTTTTTGTTATATTCCATGGAATGCTCTTAACATCCCGATAGCAATGAATATCTTAAGTGCTTTGACAAAAAATCCATTAAAAAAATGTCATCTGTGGAAGCCGTAGTACTGTAAAAAGCACGACCAATCATCTGAGCCGGCCCGGCTAAGATAACTGGATGGCCTACCTGCCTGTCAGCCTTCCATCTGTGCACAAACTTATCTCGTGCCCTCATTGGTCATCTGCACGTTCGTGTGTGTTGGAGTAGGGGCTCTGTAAGGAAGTGGCAGATTTTTTCTGGTTGTGTATTTTCAAATTCTAGCGCACTCGAGCTGGTTTCTCCAAAATTACCTACCCCACCTTTAAGGAATGCCACTTTTTTAAAGTATAACATCTGAGTTCTTCTTACACATCTTTTAGAACAAAACGTAAAATAATCCTGAATCTTCCATTTACCACATTTCTTATTTAAGGCATCTAACGAAAAAAAAACATTTAAAAATAAATTTACTTTAAAATAATGGAAGCTTAAGAGCTTAAAATGCTAACTCATTCCCGGGTTTTAGGACTCACTCCTGCATTAATCTATAATGCACAACTGCTTAATTTAACTGGGGCAGGGCAACAAATACATTTGTCATAATCCTATATTATCAAATCGAATGATTGTGATCCTTTATTCTTGTAATGTGTATCCATGGAACTGCCCCCCCCCTACCTCAAGGAACTCCTCACCCCTCATACTTCCTTGCGGACCTCCCGCTCCAGCAAAACCAACCTCCTCAAACCCCCCAGGACCAAGCTCCGTACTATGGGAGACTGGGCTTTCTGCTCGGCTGCCCCCAGTCTGTGGAACGCTCTCCCCGAGCACATGAGAGCACCACAGACCGTGGAGGCCTTTAAAAAAGGCCTCCAAACCCATCTGTTCAATAGAGCCTTTTCCTAGACCTTTTATCTTATTACTACCCTTTTGTTATTTTATTGTTTGTTTTTACTGCTTTTTAATCATTCTACTGTGTTGTGTACAGTTTTGATTTTGTTCCATTCTAAATGCTTGTAGCACTTCGGGATCTGAACTCAGATATGAAGTGCATTAAATTAAACCCATTATTATTAATGTTATATATTATAAGGGTGTTAATCTTTCTTTTATTTATACAATAACATGCAGGTCAATTAGTGACAAGGGAAATAAATAAAAGATGCTACAATGAGGATTACAACATGGAAACTAAAAGTGCTTCTAGATACGAGGAGGAGCGGGTAGCGGGAACAAGACAGCGGGAAGTGGCTCCACATGGAAATATGACAATCCCTACAGCTTTGTTTATGTGTGTGTGATTGTGGGTGTGTGTTTGCATGTCACTGGGCCTGTGTGTGGGGCTACTGGCTGCTGGTATGAAGGCAAGAGATGCAAGTGGACAAGATGTGTGCACAGCTTGCAGCATTCCCTCTGGAT